TGATGTCCAGTTTAGAAAATCCTTTCCTACACCTGTATCTTGTAGGTTTTTACAAATGTTTTCTTCTAACAGTTTCAGAATTCCAAGCTTCACATTGAGGTCTTTGATCCATTTGGAATTGACTTTTGTGCAAGGTGAAAGGGGTTTAGTTTCATTCTTCTACAGGTGGAGATACAGTTTTGCAAGTACTATTTACTGAACATGCTGACTTTTCTCCAGTGAATATTCTTGGCCCGTTTGTCAAATATTAGGTGGCTGAAATTGCATGTACTCATATTTGGGTCTTCAATTTTGTTCCACTGATCTATGGGTCTATTTTTGTGCCAGTACCATCTTGTTTTCACATGTATTACAAGCTCTGTAATACAGCTTAAAATCTGGTATAGTAATCCCTCCGGCATTGCTCTTAGTGCTCAAAGTTGTTTTGGCTATCCAAGGTCTTTTGTGCTTCCATATGAATCTTAGGACTTTTTTTTCCAATTCTGTGAAAAATATCATGGAGATTTTGATTGGCATTGCATTGACTCTATAAATGGCTTTTGGTAGGATGGTCATTTTCACATTAATTCTTCCAATCCATGAGCATGGGAGGTCCTTCCATCTTCTGATGTCTTCCTCAATCTCTTTCTTTAAAGATTTAAAAATTTCATTGTAGAGGACTTTAATGTCTTTGGACAGGTTTATTCTGAGATTTTTTTTTCAGCTATTGTGAAGGGCAGTGTTTCCATGTGCTCTTTCTCTGATTGTCTGTTATTGGTATATAGAAAGGCTATAGACTTTTATATGTTAATTTTGTAACCTGCCACTTTACTGAACGTGTTAATAATTTCTAGGAGTTTTCTGGTGGAATTTTTGGCGTATCTTAGGTATAATATAATATCATCTACAAAAAGGGATAATTTGATCTCTTCTTTTCCAATTATTATTCCTTTAATTTCCTGCTCTTGTCTTATTGCTCTAGCAAGTTTCAAGCACTATGTTAAAGAGAAGTGGAGATAGTGGACAGCCTTGTCTGGTTCCTGATTTCAATGGGAATGCTTCCAGTTTTTCTCCATCTAGAATGATTTTGGCTGTGGATTTGTTATATTATGGCTTTAATTATATTGAGGTATGTTCCCTCCAGTCCAATTTCTTCTAGGACTTTGAACATAAATGCATGTTAAAATTTTGTCAAAGGCCTTCTCTGGATCTATTGAGATGACCATGTGGTTCTTGTCTTTGAGTCCATTTATATGATTTATGATGTTTATTGACTTATGTATATTGAAGCATCCCTGCATCTCTGGGATAAAGCCGACTTGATCACGGTGGACGACGTTTTTGATGTGTGTCTGTATGAGGTTTGCCTATAATACCAATGCTGAGGCAGAGTGGAAACAGGAGGATCTCTGAGACTTGCTGGCCAGCCAGTCTGTCCTATCAGTGAGCTCCAGGTTTCATGAAAGACCCTGTCTTTTCTTTTAAAAATTTTTATTTATTGTTTTTATTTTATGTGTATGAATGTATTGCCTGCATGTGTGTAAATGCGCCCATGTTGTGCAACGCCTGCAGCGGTCAGAAGAGGGCATAACATCCCCTGGAGCTGGAGTCATAGACAATTGTCAGTTGTAGGTGCTGGGAACTGAACCTGGGTCCTCTGCAAGAACAGCCAATGTTCTTAACCACTGAGCCATTTCTCCAGCCCAAAAGACCCTGTCTTAAAAAATAAGAGGGATGGGGACCAGAGAGTTGGCTTAGCAGTTAAGAGCACTTACTGCAAGAACTGGAATTCAGCTCCCAGGACCCACATCAGGCCGTTCACAAACACCTTCAACTCCAACTCCAAGAGATCCGATACCTCCTTCTGGCCTTCATGGGCACCTGCACACACATGTGTACATACATACACACTCAAATAAAATTAAATTTTAAAAATAATAAGATAGCAATTGAGGAAGACACCCAACAGTCGACATCTGGCCTCTTCATGCACACCCACACATGTGCACACACAAACAGATATACACACCATACACACACACACAAAATAAACTGGATTTTAATTAAAAGTGATAAAAGATGTTGACTAGAACAAATGGAGAAAGAATAGAATAGTATATAACTGACCTGATTTATTACCTTTCCCCTCCTGTGAACTGCTTTCCAAGCCAACCCTGCTTACTCTGCTCCCACGGTGGGAGCTCAGGAAACAAGAACAGTCAGGACTTACTGAGAACTCACTAAATGACAAGACTTTAGCATACAACATTGTGGCCAGCTACAAGTTGATCCTCCAAATCCATTGACTCCTTTTTCTACCCCAGGGACTGTGCTGGTCAAAGTGGGGCAGCTGCTCTGGCACAGAGAAGGGCCTCCTGCTGGAGATAGCAACACTGTCCCTTCATGGGTCCCTGGATAGCCCAGTGCCTGGACAGCCTTTTTAGTCCAGGCTGTCCTGGAACTCACTGTGGAGGCCAGATGGCCTGAAACACTCAGCAGTCTCCTGCCTCAGTCTCCAGAGTGCTAGGATTACAGACATGAGCCACCACACCTGGCTATTAAGTGATCTCTGACCTAGAACACCAACTATTATGATTACTTAGTTCCCTAAGCACAAGAAGAAAGTAAGGCATTAGTGTCACCTGTCTCACAGAATCACTGTGAGGATGACCCTGCATTTCTTTTTTGTCATTTCTTTTGTTTGTTTGTTTTTGAGATAGGGAGTCTTCCTATGTATCCCAGGCTGGTCTGGAGTTCAACATTAGTTCATGGTCCCTGTCACCTCCCCAATATGGGTTACAGGTGTGCGCCACCACTCCTGGCCATAATAAGTATTTCTGAAACTATTTGTGAACATCTGAATGGCATTATTAGCCTCCATTTTACTGATGAGGACGTGGTAAATGAAATGTTCAAGCCCATTATAATTCACAAGTGGCAGAGCCAGGGCTGGCACTCAAAGAGCAGGTCTAAGAGCTGATCTCTCAATCTCCAGTTTATCCACTCGGGCTCCTTGACCCTACCAGCCTCAGCTTTCCGCTTATTAAAACAAGGGTTCACACACTTTCCGCAGGGTCTCTATGAGCATCAAATGAAGTGCTGTGTGTAAGCACCCTGCACGGTGTATCTAACACATGTCTGGTGTCTACAGAGCAGGAAATGCTGGAGTCGCTACTGGGAACACCTGCCAGGCCAGAGGGAGTCCTACAGGGGCAGAATAGAGCAGCAGTCATCCGGACAGTGGAGAAGACCATTGAGCCGACAGTTTTTCTCCTGTGACCGTGCCGACCAAGCTTGGCCTCCCGTCTCCCATCGAGAGACCACCCCAAGTCTTTCCTGCCCTGCAGCAGGCACCCATGCCTAGCGGAGCCCGAGAGCCAGGCTCAGGGCCAGGTCTGTGGACATGGGTCTCCCGACTGCCCTGGGTAAGGAGGGAGTGAAGAAGCTGTAGAACCCCACTGCAACCGACAGAAACAGACGCCCCAGCGCCCCCACCGCGCGGTTCCCGCCTCCTTTGTTGCCCCCACTCCTCCCCCACCTCCCTACCCGCCAAAGTGCCCCACGTGGTCAAAAATCAGCTCGGTGCTGGAAGACTCCATGTCCTGGCTGCTCCCCGTGGAGTGAGCGCTCTGGGCTGCAAGCACCGCGCCCACCCCGTACCCCAGGATGCCTCTCACCAGGTGGCAGCGCGTGTCCTGGGGATAGGCTCACGCGAAGGACCACACCCTGCTCCTTCCTCAGTGGTTGAGCTCCTCGGCTCACCAGCTTCTCGTGGTCCCCGAGTGTGCAGTCTCCTGCAAGCCTTCAACCTCAGCCCCACGCCTCCCTTCGTGCTCCATGCTGCTAGGTCACCGGATCCACTTGGCCACCATGCCCCTGGCAAGCTTCAGAGCCGAGGGTGGAAATGCAGCGGCCCCGCCTTGCCCTTGGGACTTCAAGAGCACCCCCTCTGCGGCAGAATGAGAGTCACACCCTTACTTCTCAAACTTCAGTACTTAAAATCCCAGTGTGGTGCGTGCCTTTAAACGCACGTTCATTTCTAGGCTCCGCGCCTGGAGACTCAGCCCGCCTGGGGTGGAGTCAGGAATGATGTTTCGTGGTGGTTTGTTTGTTTTCTGTTTTGCTTTATTTTGTTTTTAAGACAAAGTCTGGATATGTAGCCAGGGCTGCCTTCGAATTCAGGATCCTCTTGCCTCTGTGTCCTTGAATGTTGGTTGGGATTGGAAACCTACTCTGCCATATTCCACATTCAATTCATCCTTTACTTTCACATTCTACATCTTTTCCATTAGAACATTCTGGTTGCTTCACCTTTAAAATGAAACCTGATCATGCTCTATCTCTCTGCCCCGTAGGGCTCACCCTCTAGTCACCACCTGCATTCTCGGCAACATCTACACAGCATTCCTGCCTACACAGCAAGTACACGCACCTGAAAAATCAACGAGACCAACTCTCTCGTTGCTCAGCTTCCTGTCATGCTTAGAATAAAATACAAAGACCTTCCCTAGCACTGGTGCTTCTCCGGTTCATCCACCACCCTTCAGCACCACCACCCTTCTCCTGCCCCTCTCCTCACCCACTGGTGCTTCTCCGGTTCATCCACCACCCTTCTCCTGCCCCTCTCCTCACCCACTGGTGCTTCTCCGGTTCATCCACCACCCTTCTCCTGCCCCTCTCCTCACCCACTGGTGCTTCTCCGGTTCATCCACCACCCTTCTCCTGCCCCTCTCCTCACCCACTGGCAACAGCACTCACTTCAGTCTCCGAACTTTTACTCTCACTATTCCATCTGCCTGAAATTTTTTGCCCAGAAAGCACAGCTCTTCACTCAGGCCCCTGTTCCAGTGTTGCCGCTTCTGAGATTTCTCCCATAGCACCAATCCCCATCACTCTCTAGCCCCTTCCATGCTGCCCTCTTTTTTTTTTTTCCTTCAGCTTGATCACATACATGATACAATAGGTACAGTCTGATGTTGCTTCTATAGAATATAAGCTCATGACAGAACGTACTTTGATATATAAATATGTGTTGTTAAATGAACAAATGGGCATCATTTAAGTATAAGGAATAATAATACAAAATGAAAGCACAGCAATTCTCTCCACTCACGTGGAAGAACCTAACATAAATCTTACCGCCAGGCAAGTCTTGGGAATGTCTAAAGGAGAATCTAGTGACAACATGCATGCCCTTTAGAAATACAATAAGGTCATCATTGTACATTGACTACTGAGCAGATAGATATATTTTTGCCAGTGAATGGAAGGGATGTGGAAAGATGAGGGTGGAGAAAGTAGAAAGCTAAGAAAAAAGCGATATTTGTGCAACCTTACTTGTAAATCTATAAGGATTGTTAAATTGGGATAACTTGAATCCCCAGCAGGGAAATATTCTGATGTCCTGTGGCCCAGTTGTCTCTAAGCCCAAATGCTTCTTCTAGCCTGGTCTTGGAATCACATCTAGTTCCCCACAAAGAATCAACAAAGTAGAAAAAAGACACAGAACAAAGACAATTGAGTTAACTGATGGATGAAGAGTGACCCAGAGCCAAGCTAAGGAAAAGATTATGTTTCAGATCATAAGGTTATTTACCAAGGTTCTGGAAACAGAGTGTCCAGCCATGGCTAAGAAATCTCCAGCAAAGCCAGAAGGGGATTTGGTGTGTTATGGGAGAAATGGTGGATGACAAAGTCCCTGTCCCATGTATCTTGCAGAAATTCTCCCATGCTGAGGCCCCCAAGACCCAGATAATCTGTTGTAGTTATCTAGTGCTTCTTCAAGAGTCAGGGGGAAATTACAAAGCAAACTTGTTTTATCCTCTACTCCACTTTCTCTTCTATCCCTGTTCCAGTTCTGGAGATGTCATCACCTCTGTGTCATCTATCTCCACACACACACATACACGCCTCATCACTCTACCCCACCGTTCCATGCTGAAGCACCTCTCTCTTGCTCCCCCTTCTATCACTGCATCCTACCCACTTGAAGGTTTCTAGCTCCAGAGTAGTTCCTCTTCCTCTCTCAAAGTCCAATGATTCTGGGTAGAATTTATGCTAACATTGGATTCTCAGTGGAAAAACAATGTGGTGCCTCTACTACCTTTGAATAATGATGGCCCAGCATTTCTTATCCCCGGCCTTTTCTTCTTACCCTATGTTCTTAATTGAGCAAATTAATTCTCTAGAGCTAGATCCCAGAAAATATCAGCAAAACTACTAAATAAAACCCATTTAGAGAGAGGAGAAGAGAGGACAGGACAGGACAGGACAGGAGAGCTGAGGTACTGAAGTCTGTTTTCAGGCAGGTCTTTCGATAAAGGAACTTGATCAGGATTAAGTTAGAATGCTGCTATAAGAGTCAAGGATTTGGAACTGGAAAGATGGCTCGGCGGTTAAGAGGCTCGGTGGTTAAGAGCATTGGCTGTACTTACAGAGGACCTGGGTTCAAATCCCAGCACCCACATAGTGGCTAACAATCATCTGTAACTCCAGTTCCAGGGGATCCAACACCCTCTTCTGACCTCCACAGGCATTGCATGACATGGCTGCACTTGCATACATGCAAGCAAAGCACCCATACACATAAAATAAAAAATCATAAATAAAACATTCTTTAAAAAAAAGAGTTAAGGATTAGAGCCAGTGGTGGCACACACCTTTAGTCCCAGCTCTCAGGAGGCAGAGGCAAGTCACTGTGAGATGGAGGCCAGCCTGGTCTACACAGTGAGTTCCAAGCCAGCTGGGGTTATAGAGGCCACAGCAAAGTGAAGATTTCAAGGAAAGATTAGAAGATTCCTTGGAAATAAGTTATCATTTTATACTCTCTATTTAAAATCAAATAATTTGGTGCTCATTGAAATGAGTTTGGATAGTTCCTAAAATGAACAGCAAGGCATTTATAAGTTTCGTGTTCAAGAGTTCCCTCAATTGGAAAGACATCATCCTAGTTAGCTTTAACTATCAACTTCACACAGTCTAGAGTTGCCTGAAAAGAGTCTCAATTGAGGGATTTCCCAGGTCAAACTGGCTTGAGGACATGTCTGTTGGGTCTTGTCTTGATTGTTAATTGATATAAGAGAGCCCAGCCCACTGGGTACGTGGTCCTAGGCTGTATAAGAAAGTTAGCTAAGCATGAGCTTTGTGAGCAAGCCAGCTTGTGATTTGGAAGTACAAGCCAAATAAACCCTTTCCTCCCCTAAGTTGCTTTTGGTCAGTGTTTTCTCACTGCAACAGAAATCTAACTAGAACAAATGCCCTAATAAAGACAGCAGAAGAAGCCTGTTGATTTAGACAGTCAACCAAGTGAGGTAGATGGTCTCCATCCTTACTACATACTTATGGCCTCTCCAGTCCTACCATCATCTTACAGCCTTATTCCCAACTATATATTTAACAACATCATCTGGCCATGCCTCAGGTAGTGAGAGTAATTTCTCCAAAATTCACCTATAAATGAGTCCATGGCATCTTAGCTTTCGGAGTAAGTCCTCTGCTTGTCTTAGCATCTAGGGCTCCTGGTCCTACATTCCTGCTTACTTCTCAAGTACAGCCTCCAGTCATGTTTTCACACAACAGTTTTGTTCTGGAATTGCAGAACTCTATGAATTCCCACCAAGCTGGTGCTCACTTGCATCCCCACACATTTGCCCATGCTATTAGGTCAGCCTAGAAATCCCTTCCCATTTCATGCATAGGCTAATCCTAGGAATCCTTTAGAACTCAGGGCCAGTGCCACTTCACCCCTAATCCCTCCTGATGCAGGCTGGAAGAAATCTCAACTCTCTTCACAGCTCAGATAATGAACTCTTAAGCTGGGGATGTAGCTCAATGATAGAAAGCCTAAGTAGCATGTGCAAGGTCCTAGGTTCCATCCCCAGCACACACACAGACACACACAAACATACATACACATATACACACATAAACACACACAAACACACAGACATACACAAACATACACATATAAGCACACTCACAAACATACACACACACAGACACACAAAAACACATACACACACATACACACAGACACACACACAAACATATACACATATACACACACATAAACACAAACACACACACACAGACATACACACAGCCATACAAACATATACACAGATACACACACAAACATGCACACACATGCAGACGTAAACACACAAATACACATACACATACAGACCTACACACACAAATATACACAGAGACATACACACACACACACACACACACACATACACGCACACACACAAACATAGGACTGGCTCTTTGATTCCCAGCCATCAGGAGATGAGCAGATTGCTTCAACATACTCTTTCCCATCATGATGTTCTGCTCACCATAGGCCCATAACAATGTGACCAGGTGACCATGAACTGAAACCATATGCACCAAAATATATATTTCTTCCTCCTGGAAGAAAAAAGAATCTGGAATCAAAACTACCACTTATCACACATGATCCTGGGCAAGGCATTTAACCACTCATATGTTTTTACATAGATAATGATATGTAGTAGTCTGATCATATTCACCCCCATTAGCTTCTCTCATTCCACTTCCATTTCAGTCAAACCCCTTCTTCTTTCCAAAAGTC